ACAATACAATAGGAGGTCTATATACCTTATAAAGAACATATAATCTGGTTGTGTTTCCTGGTCAACCCGGGAAGGCTGACATCAATCTGGCAATTTGGAAAGTACAAATCTCCAACCCGCTTAGCCTTGGAGGAACCAATTCAGCCTATGAGAAAATTAAATGGACGAAGTAGTTTTGCTCCAACTTACATAGTAAAATTGTGGATAAAGGCCCCTTTAGGGATCTGGACATCAAAGACCAGATTCTGTGAGTTCTTGGCTCTGTTTTCCACTTTGGTCTGGACCATCGTGTTGGCCATGCGGGACGTAATGGTGGACTGGATTTTGTAGCTGTGGAGGATGATTTTGTCATCACCGAGAAGCTGAAACAATGAAAACAGGGCAGGAAGGATCAACAGAGGAAGAACTGGGATTCCAGATATGGTCCCCTATCCTGGCAATTTTATTGTTGATATGATTAAAATTGAGAGCCAACCGAAGGGAAATTTTAGAAAAAATCACGATGGCAGATGTACCACCTACTTGATTATAGGAAGAATATCACTGTGTTGGAAATATTGTACAGGTGATCATATGTTAACTAACCCAGGTCATCAACACAGTTGGGTAGAGTAGAGTAGAGTAGAGTAGAGTAGAGTAGAGTAGAGTAGAGTAGAGTAGAGTAGAGTAGAGTAGAGTAGAGTAAAATAGAGTAAAATAGAATAGAATGAATGGGTTGGGAATAGAATAGAATAGAATAGAATAGAATAGAATAGAATAGAATAGAATAGAATGAGAGAAGAGAGAAGAGAAGAGAGAATAGAATAGAATAGAATAGAATAGAATAGAATAGAATAGAATAGAATTCTTTATTGGCAAAGTGTGATTGGACGCACAAGGAAATTGTCTTTGGTGCAAATGCTCTCAGTATACATCAAGGAAAAAAATACATTTGTCAAGAATCATCAGGAACAACACTTAATGATAGTCATAGGGTACAATAAGCAATCAAATCATACTAGGAATCAGTCAATATAAATCATAAGGACATAAGTGACAAAGTTACAATCATACAGTCACAAAGCGGGAGGGGATGGGAGATAAGGAGTGATGAGAAGATTAATAGTAATAGTAATGCAGGCTTTGTAAATAGTTGGACGGTGTCGAGGGAATTATTTGTTTAGCAGAGTGATGGCATTTGGGAAAAAGCTGTCCGTGTGTTTAGTAGTTCTGGTGTGCAGTGCCCTATAGCATTGTTTTGAGGGAAGGAGTTGAAACAGTTTATGTCTAGGATGTGAGAGGTCTGTAGATATTTTCACAGCCCTCTTTTTGACTCGTGCAGGATACAGGTCCTCCAAGGAAGAAAGGTTGGTAGCCATTGGTTTTTCTGCAGTCCTAATTATCTTCTGAAGTCTGTGTCTGTCTTGTTGGGTTGCAGGGCCAAACCAGACAGTTATAGAGGTGCAGATGACAGACTCAATAATTCCTCTGTAGAACTGAATCAGCAGCTCCTTGGGCACTTTGAGCTTTCTGAGTTGGCGCATAAAGAACATTCTTCGTGGTGCTTTTTTTATAAGCCATAAATGCCTTGATTTGATTTGCCCGAGATGAATCCTTTTCCCCGTTGTTGCTCCATTTTTGTTCATCCCACGACAACATTGCACAGTAAAAAAGCACCAGGTTAATAATATTCTGTTTCTTGTGTTTCCTGGACAGGAAAAGCAAGCAGCCCTAAGCAAACGGTGGGATTGATCTTCTGCTAATGGTTAACTGGGAAGTAGGAAGGGGTAGAGCCCCTTTTCCAAGGAGAAAAACAACAATGTGAAAACTCACCAATTCTTCCTCCTCTTCAGAGTTGGAGGTGCTTCTCTGGAAAGAAAAGAAGCCAGTTTAGACAAACCTGGATGGGAGCATGAACAATGTTGTAATTTGGAGGTCCGATGAAACCTATCAACTCCTATGTGATGTTCAAATCAAACACGGTTATCAAAATGTTTTTAAAATAACTCATATGTTAGCAGAGAGCCTTGAACTTTAACTTTGCTGCCGCTGAACCTGTTAACTATTTTCCCCGCTCTCAGATATGTACAGGTAGTCCGCGACTTACAACAATTAGCTTAGTGACTGTTCAAAGTTACAATGGCATTGAAAAAAATGACTTAGAACTATTTTTCACACCTACGACAGTGGCAGCATTCCCCTGGGCAGGTGATTTACATTTGGAATTTGGATGCTTGACAGCCGGTTCATATTTATGACCGTTGCAGTGTCCCGGGGTCACCTAATCCCCTTTTGCAGCCTCCAGGGATGAAGCTCCCACAATGTCTGTTCTATAGGTTGATTGCTCTGACAGTCAGAAAATTTCTCACTTAGCAATAGCAATTTTGGGCTCAAAGAGCCTCAGTGGTGCAGTGGTTAGAGTGCAGTACTGCAGGCCACTTCTGCTGACAGCCAGCTGCCTGCAATTTGGCAGATCGAATCCCACCAGGCTCAAGGTCGACTCAGCCTTCTATCCTTCCGATAGAGGTGGGTAAAATGAGGACCCAGATTGTTGGGAGCAATAGGCTAGCTCTGTAAACCGCTTAGCGAGTCTGCAAAGTCTAAAGGTTATTGCTATTGCTAGTTGTGGTTGCCAGCAGAAGACTGCGTGGACTTCCTACCACTTCCAACCAACGCATTGATCAAATTCCACGTGCCACTTTTTATTTTATTTTTTTTTATTTTTTATAAAAAAATTTTATTGTTTTTTAACATACAAACACAACAACAAAACATAAAAGCATCAGCTCCCCCATATTTTTATACAAACAGTAAGTCGGTTGGTCCATCAGTTTTGTGCATTCATCTCATAGTCACAATTACAATTACCTTATATAATACTCTTATTATCAATACAAATTTATAAATCATAGTATCACTATTAAAAAGAAAAAAAGAAATTTGACTAAACTTTTATTCGACTTTTTATTTTATAGGAATGCTGCAGAAGCTGACCCTTGTGGCTGTTCTGTTTGCTAAACCATAAAGGAAATCATCGGTACCTGAGATCTTCCCCTTCGCAGCTGGGAACTGGAGAAGAAGCCCCTGGTCTCCAGGTCGAACAGCTCTGCCAGTTTCTGGAAGGAAAACCACTGAGAAGATCAGAGAAACGGGGAGCCACACACAGGATGATCAAATCAAATGGAAAACCAACATCCCATCAGTGCTGGGAGCAATGGAGAATGCTTAAGGGCTGGGTGCTTAGAGCACAACATAGGATATTTGTCTATCTTGCCTTTGGGTGGCTTGCCTTCAGAAGTTGCGGCTGCTCTATAAACCCTGGAGGTTGATAAGAAGAGACTGGAGGACAGTCGTTCGTCCAGAATAGCATAGGGCAGAGGTGTCAAATTCAATTTATTGAGGGCCGCATCAGGGTTGTCTTTGACCTTGGAGGGCCATGGGGCGTGGCCATGGGTAGCTGTGGCCATGAGTGGCCATGGTTGTGGTAGACATGGCGCAGTGGTTAGAGTGCAGTACTCAAAGCTACCCCTACCGCAATTTGGCAGATTGAATCCCACCAGGCTCAAGGGTTGACTCAGCCTTCCATCCTTCCGAGGTGGGTAAAATGAGGACCCAAATTGTTGGGGGCAAGAGGCTGACTCTGTAAACCGCTTAGAAAGGGCTGTAAAGCACTATAAAGCAATATATAAGTCTTAAGTGCTATTGCTGTTGCTATGCTGGGCACAACACAGGATTCGTATTGGGGGCACCCATGGTGGCCAAGTACTGATGCAGGACTTCGCTGAGACCCTCCCTCCCTCTCACTATAATCTCCTTCCTTCCTTCCTTCCTTCCTTCCTTCCTTCCTTCCTTCCT